CAATAGTAGAGTTTACTATTAACTCTATTATTTGAATCCAATTCTTATCCAAATTTCTTGTATTACAAAGTTTTTCAATTTTAGTTACATACAAACTCAATTAAGAATTTCAACTATAAATACTGCAAGAATTTCTATTATTTCACCACAAAAAATAAAGAGAGTCATGGTACATAGAAATGAAATAATAAAGTATAGAAAAATAGAGAAGAATTTTTACATGCAAGATTTTATTCTTTCCAACATTTCAATGACGATGTAAGATACTTATGTGCAGCTAATTTGTTTCCTTATACTTTTATATATTCAATTAAATATGCATGATTGCCAGTGGACCTTCGAGTTCTTTATAAAGAGAGATGAATTCCTACGAAAATTTAGGAGGACCTAAGATGGGTGTATCACTTGGTCACCGATATATTTCATAAGATAAGAGTGGTATGAAGTGTTTTTTTTTTTAATTTGTTATATATAATGGTGTATGGAAATTGCATATATCTTACTGAGTATTTTTAAATACTCACTCTTACAAAATTTTATAGGTTAGTTCAGATCGATTGAAACTGTGGATGGATGTGATGCGAATTGCCTAGTAGATTCGAAAACGAAAAGTATTAAAAAAAAATTGGTTTTGTCTTTAAATTTGTTAGTTAGTTAAGTTTGTTTCAAAGTCATGTTATTTAATTAGTTAGTTGAATATTTTTTTCAAAGACATAATTTTCTATGTTTAGTTTAAATTTATGGATATTTCAGCAGTGTATTTTTAAAAGAATTCATTTTTATCATTTTGTCTTTAATATAAAGAAAAGTAAATATTTGAAAACGCTTCAAAATTTATGAAAATTCGGGGTGTTACAATTTCCATGGCATTTAGTCACAAACTAACTGCTGATTTTATACTCGAAATTTACATCAAGGACAAGGAGCAATAAACCAATGCCACCATAGTATTTTATCAGCTTCCAGGCTACATGGCGATTATCCTACAGGATGGGAAAGGGCTCGAGTTTTTTCTTAATGTGGTTTTCTATTTCTTCTGTGGCGTTGTGAAATGTAGGTTTTGAAATATACTTTAGTTTCTCTTCTTTTTCACTTTTTCAAGATTATATAAGTATCACCAAATAAATGGATGAGAGAATAATTGACAATTGAAGAACCTATCATAATCTTTATAGTTCTTAAGATATAAGAATAATGGGTTTATTATTTTCAATCCCATTATTATAACCGACCAAAGCATGCTAGCTCTATGGGCGATTTTCCTTAAAAGAGAGGCAAAAGGAAGGTTCTTTTCTTTCCAGGGCTTTGGGGCAGAAGGTAGGTAGTATATGAATAAGAATTTGGATCTGTATTAGACTAAACAATATAGTGAGATACCAGTGATCATCTCCAACAAGTTCTCTGACAAATTTCAGTCCATTTTCGTTGTCTACAGTCGCGTGGTTAACAGCTGGATATTGAGTAGATGAAGACGAGTGATTTCCCCATATGATTACATTCTTCACATCACTGACGTGAACATTCAACCTTTCTGATCTCTGGCCTAGAGCTCTGTTGTGATCTAGTCTTGTAAGGCAGGTGATGTCTCTCTCTGGGATTGAAGGAGCAAATTCTTTTAAAATGAGTACATTGGTATTAGCTGGGTTGGCAACCACCAACGCCTGTCAATAATGAACGTGATAAAAGGCATTAGCTACAAGGAAGCCGATATTATGGTTAACTTTTTGTACCCGTGAAGTTTATCAATGTCAAGAAATTCAAGAAAACAATGCAACAATTAGGTTCTTTGCACAGACAAGAAGTGTATGCATAACTTCTCAATTGTCTAGAAATTCTAGAGAAGGAAAGATTCGGGCCAATCTTTTCCTCTTAGGTAACACTTGCCTTGAAATCTGGGACAGTGTGTTTCTCTAATGCTGAGGCCTGAGCCTTGGATATGGATACGTTTTTGGACATTATGTTTTTCCTTTCATTCCTTCCTTCCTTCCTTCCATGGGAATCCGCAAATGATGATGGCAATGTCTACACATTTGCAAGCTTCAACAACATTTGTCGTGGCAACAATGCCTGCAACAATAGTAATATTCAGCCAATTAACATACATCTCGGGTAGTGATTGATGAATTCTGATTGAATTAGATATTAAAGTCGTCGTATTTGAGTATGATAAATATGTGCAATCATCGTGAAATTCACTAATAACTGAGCCTAATATTACAAGAGAAGAAGGCCTTATATTTCAAAGGTTTTTAATCTTGCCGTTTGAGTTAGGCATTGTTGGCAATTAGAACATAGAAGGCATACCTTTGAGAAGCGGAAAGCTGCGTCAATCAATTCCATCTTCACCCCCTTCAATGCCTTCGCAGCTGGTTCAATATCAAGCATGTGTACAATTACAGGTTGATCAGGACCTAGCATGGCCCCTCTAGCAATCATGGGAACGAGAGCATAGCCTATGTTAAGATTTGTGGTCCATCTTAATAAGGTCAACTTTATTAAGAGGAGTGACCCAAAATCTATTTAAGTTGGTCAAACATTATCCCAAATTCCAATTGCAAAATACAAATTTAACAAACAATATTATAAATATAACAATACTAAAATTTTCCTTCATTCTTGATTCTTGTGCATTATAGTTACATGATTCATGCTCAATAATTCAAAAGTTTCAACCTTAACTCATACTTAATCTTCATTCTTCCCCACAACTCTTACTAGCATAGGTCAGCACTCAAAATTGATTCCTATATAGTAAATAAGAAATCCAAATAGAGAATACAATGATATTATATAATCCAAAATGGTTTTAACTAAGATTTAAATAAAAAAATGTACCTCTTCGTTAACTTCCTTATCACTAAACCTTATCATCCCTAATAAAAAAAAGATTTTTTTAAGCGGGTAATCGGTTCGACAGTGTAAATACCATACATGTACCGCCACAAACCGGTTCATTAAAATCAAATACCATATCCGTCCCATTGTACCGTCGGTTCGATTTTTTTCGCCCCATTCGGTTCGGTTAACCTCGATTTTCGATTTTAACGGTTCAAATTACCATCTCTACTTTGGAGCTTGAAAGAAAAACGAGAATTATCTGAAATCCTGTATGTAGAGTAGAGAGCGCAAGGATAAAAAAAAATCGCAAATCAAGGAGGATATAGTGATTGAGGATGGTGTAAAAGGCAGCCATTACCGTTGTTGAAAGGATTTTGCCTGCTGTATAGCCCTGCTTCAAGCCCCCTCACATGCTACTGAGTGGATGCGTGGAGGGTGGGTGATTATTTTAAAAAAATAAAATAAAATAAAAATTCCCTCACCCCCATGTATTGTGTGTGCCTGTACAGACTGCCAGGAGGTTAAAATGAAAAGGCCAAAGTTGGGTTAATCATCACGGATTTGCTTCACTCAAGTTGGTTCAAAATTATGTTCAAAAAGATACCTGTGTCTACATATTATATATATATTTTTTATATGTTTAATTTAAGGTGGGCAAATTATTTGCAATCTCGTTAGGTTATCCTGCATTTTCTACAGTAAAAAATATCATAGGATTGTCTTATTTTGATTATCATATGTATATATTGTTATTTATTAATCATTCAATTTTCATTTTTATTTTATTTAAGCACCGCGTCGATGACGCTATGGATACTGAGTAGTAAATAATTTGTTGCTGCATTATTTCTCTCCAACATCGAAGCCTAATGCAGATTGCAGTATTTGTTGCCCATTTGCCCTACTACCTCAAACTCAGCAAACGATGTTTCAAGTGATGAAGTCGAACCTTGTCAAGAAAATGCTGCTACAGTAATAGGGCCATGTCGGCCTTGCAGGCAAGAAAATCTTCAGTGGCACCCTACGTCGAGGTGGCCCTCTCTTATAGTGATAGTGCGACCGTTCGACTAAAGATTTTCTCAGTAATGCAAGGTGACCAGCTAGTGCTCCAAGTAGCATAATTTGTCAGGAAAAGGCAAAACAAGATTAAGGGATTTTTTGAGGCACATTTTTCATTTTATAAAATGAGAAATATAGCCGTTGGTGCACATTTCTCCATAAAATTGTGAGATGCAAGTCAACAATTACGGCTGTATAGGGGTCCACTAACGGTCAGAATTCTTCTACAAATGAGGAAATAATATGGAACAAACAGCCCCTAAAAAATTCAGGCTTAAGGAGCCACAAAAACTGCATTTTCTAGCAAGTAAAGTGCTTAGCTTTGTTTGATGGGCATTATAATCAATTTTTTAGTAGATTTTGATAAAAGTTAATAAAATATGTTGTTAAAAGTTGTGGATCCCATGAATATATTATTAAAATTAATTATTAATTTTGGCTTAAATTAAAATCTAAATTTTTAATTTTTACCAAAAGAGAGTATAGTTTTCTTTACTCCGAAATGCATTTTTGGGCTTCAAATGCTCAATAGGACAGCACATAAATACACACCATTTTATTTTCGCTAGAAATGTAACTTTGGAGGCTTGGAGAAGATTATAAAGAGTAGGTTGAATAATGTATCCTAAACTTAATTTGAATAATTTCAACCATTTTCAACTTAGTTCATGTTTTGTCCATTTATGTAATATGATTTCTATAATTTAATTGTTTTCATTTACTTGATAAAATATACGTTTAAAAAATTAGATCCGACTTCAAAAATTGCAAATGTAAATTTAATTAAATTAAAGGTAATCATAATTTAATCATCCAATTTTTACCAAACTTTTCTTTTGCTTGTTTTAATTGCCTTTTTTTAAAAATAAAAAATTATTTTAATCACATTATAGTTTAAATTCTAATAAAATGTGATGAGTTTGTATTTAATTTAATTTGCGAGTTATGCCATTTTACCAGATTGATTTTATCTGATAATTGAAAAATGTTTTTAGGCCAACTAATAATAAAATGCTACCAAATATTAATCTGGCATAATTCATTTAAAATCAATCTGGTAATATAACATTCCCTTTACTTATAATTACTGATGACTCTGCTACTTGCTCACAACTCTGCCCTATAATCTAATTTCAATTAATTCTCAAAATTTTCCCAAACAACCCTTTTGGGTAAATTATACTCATCACCCTTGGTCGGTCGGAGGAATGCATAACTTCAAATCATCATTGCTTTTGAGGCGATGTGTTCATAGATGCATCTTCCAATTCAGAAGCGTTAGCTCTCTCTCCAATAATCCCCTCATTGATGATGCTGATAACCTAGTCAGTTCTCTTGTTTAAACCCTTTTCCATTTCAATTATCGAATGCTTAATTTATACCACATACACACGGACAAGCACACACCAATATGAACTCATTTTGTTTGAATAATTTTCAGGTACTTGTCGAGGGCAAAGCTTATTCAAGAACTGCAATTCTCAACAGACCCTCTGTGCTCAATGCTCTTAATACTACCGTGGTATGTTATATAGGCACAGTTGACAGTAATGGGTTTTTTAGTGCGTTTTGCGCCTGCATGTGCTATTATTTGGTTGCATTTTATTTTTTTTCATTGAGATTTAAGAAGATTGTGTCTAAGGTTTTTAATAGTATTGAGGTTTTGAATTGGCTCAATTGAGAAATTTAGACCAATGGTTCATTGCTGTTTTCAGTCACTGTGCAAGGTGGTGTCTTTAAGTTAATTTTAATATTTAAATGGATTGTTTGCATATATGTGGGTAATATCTTGTAATTGTTCATTAAGGTGTTTTCTTATCCGCCTTGCAAGATTGCCTTTCTGGGTTTGCCTTAATATATCGAATCCCATAATTATGATATTTAACCAGAACAGTAATTGTTATTTACTTATCTGTGGAGAAGTTTATTTGATAGTAATGCATATAAGCATATTGTAAGTATTTTTTGTTTTGACGTTCTTTGAGATGTTTTCTCAATATGCACTCTTTTATGTTGTTTTCAATCTTAATTTACGCTGGCCCATTTGACTTTAATCAAAATATATTGTATGATAACCGCTTTGTAGATTATGTTTCGAGTTTCTTTCAACAATTGAATTTATTAGTTGTAATTTGACTATATGCTTAATTTTATTTTATTTTCAATAATCCTGATTTGTTCATTTTTTTTAATTCAATATGGTGGAATATAGGGTGCTAGGTTGCATAAACTATACAAAAGTTGGGAAGATAACCCTGACATTGGGTTTGTGGCTTTGAAGGTATTCTATTTTCACAATTCAGATTTATCGTTATTTTTTATTTTTTATTTTAATTTTTTTATTTTTGTGTGTGTATTTTTAGGAGTAGACTTGTATGCCATTTTTTGTCTTTTGTTAGCTTATGCTGTAAATTAACTTTAGTATGGTTATTAAACTCTTGAAGGGTAAAGGCAGGGCGTTTTGTGCCGGTGGTGACATTGTTTCTCTCTATAAGTTAATAAACGAAGGTACAAATAGAATATTTGAGATTATGCTATGTTCTTTGATAATCTACCTGGTGAAGTATACTGCAGATTTGTTCTCTTTATCAAGATTTCACAAAGGACTATATTCTTTAGTTGCAAGTTCATAGAGTGAAGATGGTTTAGTTGATTTATGAGATAATTGCTGATTGACCAACTCAACTCTACCCTATGTTACTATAACATGCTGTGACTAGAAAGTCAGGCCAATGTTCCTGTACAAGTTGGGAACTTTTTAAAGGATTGTTCTAATAAGTCTACTAATGAACTTCGAATTGGACAATTTAAGATAGTGGTCAGGCATAAATTGCCACGTGGTGGTTCTTGATAATTGTTGAGAACGGCACTCGAAATAAGCGCATTACTTATTGTTCTAAATAGTGGAGAGACATACTTTTTGGTACAATCATCAATGTCAAGGGAATTGTAAAGTTGGTTGGTGCATAACTGCTGTCACTGCTATTGCTCTGAGTCTTTCCCTCTCTTTCGTCAGAATGGTTATAATATTTTATTCATCCATGCAGGAAATCTTGAAGAGTGTAAAGAATTCTTTTGGACCCTATACAATCATATATACTTTCTTGGTACATATTTGAAGCCACACGTGAGTATCATTTAACTGCCTGCTCAATTCTGCCCAATTGTATTGTGTATTTCCTAATCATATTTTTAGATTGTTAAGTATGCTGGGGGATAAAGGCCTCTAGAAGCTTAAGCACAAAGTGAAAAATGAGGATCATGCTTCCTTTTACTAATTGAAATGAGGTTCTTCGTGTGATTCACAAAACTCAGATATTGCTGCAGTTCCTCAAGTTCCTGCACACAAACAGTTAGTTCCCTGTTTATTTTGAACAAAATGCGCTTGATATGATCTCCCAAGTCAAAACTGGATTCATTCACATTTTTCAGCTCTTGGTCTCATTTCAATGGGAAAAATTTAATTCCACTTAACATGACGGTAAAACAAAGTATGATGCAAAAAGGCGTTAAAAAAACTAGGATATAATAAAGCAAAGGTTACACTTTGACAACAAAATAATGACTATTGGGCGCCTCACTACGCCATAGACAAAAGTGCTCTTTGGCAACGATGTCGTTGATACAGACATTTTGTATCATCTTTCTAAAATATTGGTCAAATTGCTCTGAGTTTCAAAGTTCAGAAGATGATAATCTGCCTGTTCATCAGGATTGCAATTGTTGATTTGTTGTGGCCTCTCTATATACATCCTTTTATCTACTCAATTAATGCCATTTGGATATCTACTCAGATGGAACAGTATGTTTTGCCCAGCTGATTTCTGTTTCTTACTTTTTGTCCTCTACAACACAAAAAATATTGATTCTGCTACAAGTTTAAGACCAGTCAATTTTTATTATTCATGTTTCTTGCACCTGAATTTTCATCATTAACATTTCTTTTACTATTCTATGCAATGATCTCCATGCAGGTGGCCATCTTAAATGGGATTACAATGGGTGGTGGGGCTGGAATTTCAGTCCCTGGGACATTCCGAGTTGCAACTGATAAAACTGTAAGAAACTTCCATGAAATCTAAGAATCTTGTTCTCTTCTTCTATTTCACCTATTAAAAGATATTTTTTACGATTTTGGAGTTGGTGTTCAACTACTTTGGAGAACTCATGATCCGGTTTTATTTATGTGCTGCTGCTGATTATCAGACCATGTTTATATTGTATTTTAGAGGGGATGAGATGTGGAAGCTCGTTACTTAATTAGTTGAGTAACAATGTGAACATTTAGCAATTAAGAAGTTTAAAGAATTTGAGAGCCGACTTATTTATTTCATCCCTTGAATGAAATGTTAAAAACAGAGGAGGTTGGATGTGAAAGTACTAGAAGGAACAGCATATCTAGTACAATTTGTTCAGGACTCTGTTTAGATATTTACCTCTGTTTCATACACAAGTCCCTGTCCTATTGGCACCCAATGCTTTTGCTTTGAAATTCAAGATCCAAACTCTCTCTTTATCTCGTATGTTCTTTGGCTTATTTTAATTCCTTTCACCGAAAGAATTGCTGTTCTACGAAATGGCCGATGACAGCTATTTCTTCTAATAAAATCCTCAACACTTCTGATGCCATGGTCAAGAAATTAAAGCTGGTTATCTGGGTGATGGTTAGTTTTGTGCAAATAAATTTGCCCTTTTAAACTGGTCGCTGCATGCCATTAATGTTAAGAGAAAACATTTTATTCTGAGGATAAGTGATAGATGGCCATTAAGCTTGGGCAACACAATGTCTGTATGTTTTGACTTTCTTTCTCACTTTTACAATTTTTTCCTTCAAAATTTAGCATGATGAAGTTTAAAGGATGCATGTTTAGTGGAAGTCTAGTCTATTTTATCCACTTTTAAATATTTATCTTTGGATGCCCAATAACTTAGTCATGTCTGAGAAGTCTCAGTTGAATGTTTTACATCCTACCTAGACGTCCTTATAGATGTGCTAGAAAAGGTAAGTTTTCCCAGAAATAAGTTAAAGGTCCTAATTCTGAAACAAATAGCATTATGACCATATTCACGTGCTCCTGTGGTTTTCTTTTGCAATTAAATTCTTATTTTTTATCATTATTTCAAGTAATGATTCCCCAGTCCGCACTATCCGATTTAAGATATAGGTGGGTTAAGAAAATGATTCCTCTACTTCACTTTTTTTTTTCCTGAGAAATTTTTGGCCATTTTTGGTAATAGTTGAACCACAAATGTCCCAATAACTGCAGGTTTTTGCTACCCCTGAAACATTAATTGGTTTCCATCCAGATGCTGGGGCATCATTTTACCTTTCACACCTGCCTGGCTATCTTGGTTAGTTTCTATGCCTTATCACATTTATTCATTTTACTAAATGCCTTTTCTTTTCCTGGGATTCATGAAAGTAAGCCTACCCTGTGCATGACTAACTTGGTATCTGCTTGCGCTGGTTCTTCCTTATAAAATGTCTCACAGATTTGTACTTCTGCAACTCAATGGAATTGTATTATCATGGGACCTAATCGGTCCTCGTGAATTGATACACGAGCTTTCTATTGCTGCATTATAAAATAAATAGTTTATTCGTGCTTGGATAATCTTATTTTTCCTCCTTTTTTTGTTTTCCTCATATGGTCAAACACCACTTGAGTAATCTTCAAAGCTACCACTTATTGAATAATCTAAAAGTCTAATACTTAGTGCTTTTTATGATTCCATACGCCAACATTAAATTAGATCTTTTAAGTTTCTGTCGTGCTTTAACCTTTCGTGAGAGTCTTATTCATTTTATCTTCCTTCATTCTTTAGTGATCAAGTCATTTGCATTGGACATAACCTGCTAGTTCATCTTAATTTTATATCCTTTTCCTTTCTAAACCATTGTATGCCTTCTGCTGCCTTTTCTGTCTTTACCAGCATTGGTAATAAGTTAGGATAACTAGAAAAGAAAAATATCCAAATTTTAAAGCATGCTTGGGAAGAGTTTATAAACAATGTAAATTACAAATAGATAGAAAGAAGTGGATAATACTTATGGGTTCGTCAAAATGTATTGATAAGAAGTTGCTTGAGTGTTTATAAACTATTTAAGCATGAGCCAATCATAGTCTTAATGTGTGATAACTCTGTAATATGCTCTATAGCATAGTATGTTGCATGGTTATTGATAAATGATAATCTATCTTCTCAGTTTTATCGACTTTCCCAAAATGATATCTTGTTAAATTTCTGTTTCCAGTGCTAAAATAATATGACAAGCAAAAGATGCTGATGTAGGATGAATAAGAAAGAAAGAAGAAGGAACGGGGAGGAGAAACAGAGAGAAGGGAGAAGAGGAGAAGAAACCAGAGGAAGAGAGGGGAGGGGGAAAACGGCTGCAAGCCACCAAAAATATTTCAATTCTAAATCATTATCAACTGTCTCAAATGAGAAACAAAACAGAAATAAATAGCAGAACACAAACCCTAAAGAGAAGGGCTTGGGCCAAACCCGCTAAACAAGCCCAATAACAGAAATATAAATAATAATCCAAATAGAATATAACTAATGGTCCAAAAAGAAAATAAATAGTAAATGGAAGAAAATAAATAGTAAATGGATGTCCGCATCAACTCTCCCGGGGTGGGAAAAAAACTCGACCCCGTCGAGTGGATGAATCAAAATGTTGCAATGAATCTGATGCTAAAGGCTCCAAGTCATGCCATGGGGGACGATCTTTCTGACGAACCAAATATCGAAATTCCACAAATGGTGACGATACCAATTGCAAATTAACCGCAAAAACATGAGCTGACCAAGATAACTTAGGCGAGTGAGAATTTTGCTGACTCTTATAAAGCTCCAATAAATTTGGCTCACACTGCTGAAGTCTCTCTTTGGGAATCCATGTACCGTCAGAATCAAGTCGATCCATCCAACGAACAAGAAAGTACTGAATTTCTCTATTATTGGTCAACACAAGCTGTTCATCCAAAATAACATCAATTTTATTTTTGTGTGCTGTGATAGGTGGGATTGAAGCAGACATGGCAAAAAAGTCGGTGTGGGAATTCTCATGTGGGAGTAGAAACGGGTCATCAGAAGGGCTAAAATAGCCGTTGTAAGCATCGAAGTCCGTAACAAATAAAATAGGGTGGTGGTCATAATGTGATAAAAGGTCATTGACATAGGCATTTTGACCAACATGCTTTGAAATTTTAAAAAGACCAGCATTACACGCTTGCAATATAACATAATCCCCAATATTAAATTCAAAGTATTGTTTATGCCAATCAACTTGAGGTTTATATAATGCTTTACTTGCTTCAAATTGTTTATTGATCTCAATATGCAAGCTATGAAAATGTGATACAACTACCTCAANATCAGTTTGAGGTTGGTCAGTAGTGGAGAATTTCGATTTAGTACTAAGAACAAGCGACTGGATTCTCCAAGGGTGACTAGTGAAATCATCAAACTCTTTGAGTTGGGTAAGGGTATGACATATAACATGTGATCGAGAATTGTCGGAGATAAGGGGTATAGTATCCAAAGTCTCGAGAAGAGTCTGGATTCCATCTAAGGAAGTGTCCTCACTATTATCCAAGTCATCAAAATCTTCAAGTTTAGGTTCGTAGACTAGATCTTCTAACGGCTCCTCTATTACATTCTTTCGTTCTTTCATGACTAGGGTTCGATTAGGACATTTAGAAGAAATGTGACCAAAGTCTTTACAGTTGACGCACAACAAGTGAGAAGAAGACCTTGGAGTTTCAGAAATTCTACCCTGATTTTTCAAAATTGGAGAACCATTGGAAGGGGGAGGTCCTAGAAGGGACTTAACGGGAGGAGGTGGAGCCAATGAAGCCAAATGATGATTATCAAAAATTTTACCCTTATTTTTCAAAATTGGAGGAATATCAGACGGGGGAGGTCCTAGAAGGGACTTAACGGGAGGAATTGGAGCCAATGACACCGAAGAATGATTGTCCATATGCTTTCTACATGGAAAAGAAGATCTTGGACTATCACGACCTTTACAATTATTTTTCCAAATAGGAGGAACATTAGACGGAGACGATTTTATGATAGACTTATGATGAGGCGACGCTAATGAGATGGGTGAGCGACGATGACCACGCTTTTCATATGGAGTACTAATAATCAACTCATAATCTCGAGCTAAAGAGTAAACGTGATCAAGAGTAGTGACACCTCGAAGGAAAAGCTCGCGCTTAAGATCATCTCTCAGACCTTGGCTAAACCTACTCAAAGTCGTGCTCTCATCCTTAATTAAATGACATTTGGTTCGAAATTCCTCAAATTGCGCGATATGCTCAGTCACTAATTGATTTCCTTGTTTAAAGGCATTCCATTGAGTAAGAATTTCAAAATTATCTCGTTCTCGCTCACGAATCTGATCCATATTCCTATCCCTATCCTTACGATCGGGTCGAAAGTATTTTTGATTACCTTGTCGACAATGTTGTCTATTATGGGACACCTTAGATTTATCAACATTAATCGAATGAGGGATGTGTTTAAAATTTTTCAAACTAGCAGATAGGACCGTACTCTCTTTAAGAGTAGCGGTCATTTGAGTTTGAATAGCCGCTATTTGTTGGGTGAGTGCATCGAATTGTGAGGGGTTCATGTTTAAGGTACTAGAGCTAGAAGTGACAAGATGACCAATATATAACTACATGCACTGTAATAGCAACTTAATGACATGCAATAGAGAGATCAACGAACAAAAAGTGCAAGTAATGGAAAATGAAAATTTGAGCTAATTTTTTTTTTTTAAAACTTCTGAAAAATCTTTTAAAAAAATTGAAATTCGGGGTGTGAACAGTACCCGTGAACAGTAACGATTTTTTTTTTTTTTAAAACTTCTGAAAAATCTTTTAAAAAAATTGAAATTCGGGGTGTGAACAGTACCCGTGAACAGTAACGATTTTTTTTTTTTTTAAAACTTCTGAAAAATCTTTTAAAAAAATTGAAATTCGGGGTGTGAACAGTACCCGTGAACAGTAACGATTTTTTTTTTTTTTAAAACTTCTGAAAAATCTTTTAAAAAAATTGAAATTCGGGGTGTGAACAGTACCCGTGAACAGTAACGATTTTTTTTTTTTTTAAAACTTCTGAAAAATCTTTTAAAAAAATTGAAATTCGGGGTGTGAACAGTACCCGTGAACAGTAACGATTTTTTTTTTTTTTAAAACTTCTGAAAAATCTTTTAAAAAAATTGAAATTCGGGGTGTGAACAGTACCCGTGAACAGTAACGATTTTTTTTTTTTTTAAAACTTCTGAAAAATCTTTTAAAAAAATTGAAATTCGGGGTGTGAACAGTACCCGTGAACAGTAACGATTTTTTTTTTTTTTAAAACTTCTGAAAAATCTTTTAAAAAAATTGAAATTCGGGGTGTGAACAGTACCCGTGAACAGTAACGATTTTTTTTTTTTTTTTGTGAAACTGCTGAAAAATCTATTAAAAAAATTGAAATTCCGGGTGTGAACAGTACCCGTGAACAGTGATTTTTTTTTTTTCAACTAAGACTAAAAATTGAAGAAGAAAAAACTGCTGCCTGTACCAAATATTCTTTTAGTTCGTGCTATTCCAACAGATTTTGGGAAGGAAATATGAATAAATTTTGGATTAAAGAAAAGAAATTACCCATGGTTCGGCTCTGATACCAAATTTGATGTAGGATGAATAAGAAAGAAAGAAGAAGGAACGGGGAGGAGAAACAGAGAGAAGGGAGAAGAGGAGAAGAAACCAGAGGAAGAGAGGGGAGGGGGAAAACGGCTGCAAGCTACCAAAAATATTTCAATTCTAAATCATTATCAACTGTCTCAAATGAGAAACAAAACAGAAATAAATAGCAGAACACAAACCCTAAAGAGAAGGGCTTGGGCCCAAACCCGCTAAACAAGCCCAATAACAAAAATATAAATAATAATCCAAATAGAGTATAACTAATGGTCCAAAAAGAAAATAAATAATAAATGGAAGAAAATAAATAGTAAATGGATGTCCGCATCAGATGCACAGTGCTCACTTGATGTACTCTTAGAGCATCTCTAAGAAACACTTTAAACACGTGATACTCTTTATTTTAGAAAGTCAACGTTTGAAAAACAAGCTCCGAGAAACTTTTTATTCCAACGTTTTAAAACAGAGAGTGAATTTGACTCTTCAAATTTAGAGATCAAACTCACTCTCTAATATTACTTTATAATGATTGCATTTTAATAAATTTATAAGTGAAATTTTAATATTCTATTTCGTAAATTATTCAAATTATATTTGAATTGATTGGCCATTGACATATAAAAGAATATGTTAAATAAAAGATGAAGAGAAATGAATAAATGTTTCTTGGAAAAAAATGAAGAGCCAAAATAGAGAGCATTGTAGGAGTTCATAAAAAAAATTTACTTTCTAAATTTAAAGATACCACTCTTTATAAATGGAGAGTTTTTTGGAGATACTCTTATTTTTAAATGTTGAAGACTATGCCACGCTAACTTAGAACATTTAGGTTCACAAGAATAAAGAATAAATCATTCATTCAATCTTGAATTTTTTGGAAAATTGATGAGCAAGCGAACTTATTTCATTTGTTGCTGCTCATTTCATTAATCTGTTGTTTTGAATATTTTGCTGATATGTGGGATTGTCCTCGACATCACTTCTGAATTTCATATTATGTTTTCCATTTCAAATTTGTGGCTGGAAAATTGTTATTGTTGTTAACAGGTCCGTTATCCTGACTTCTGAATTGGCCAGGCAGCTAATTTTACCTATGTATGCCTATGTCTTTTTGCAGGGGAGTACCTGGCCTTAACAGGTGATAAACTCAGTGGAGCAGAAATGATGTCTTGTGGGCTTTCTACGCACTACTCGCTTATTGCAGTCAGTGCTATTGCGCATTTTTTATTTTTTATTTTATTTATTTATTATTATTTTTTTTTTGGTACCATACCATTTCACTGTGAGAGAAGGCTTTTTGCATTTTCACTCGTTCATCCATTACTTCTACAGAAACTTCCTTTGATTGAAGAACAGCTTGGGAACTTGGTAACTGATGACCCCTCTGTCATTGAAACTTGTCTAGAAAATCATGGAGATCTTGCTCTTCCAGATAAAGAAAGTGTAATTCAGAGGTACTTCATCTGTCTTCTAGATTGTAAGTTTAAAGGGCATAATTTAGTTGAATTCCAGTGGGCAAATGTCCTACAAGACAAATTGGCTAGGTAGTAATCTATTTGTAAATGTTTTGAAATTTGGTCTCTTATCTTCATTGTCAATCAGAAAAACATCATAATATGTAAAGAAAGTACCAGGTCGAATGAAGCTTTGGTCAACTGCCTTCTCCATTTATGATTAGCTAGTTCAAAGTTAGACGAGGGGATTTTTCAAGGCTTACAAGTTATATATATTATTTGAATAAATTAATAGGAATAATCCTTTACATTTTGAGCATTTAGCAAACTAACTTGTTCTCCTCATCCACGCAACATACACCACCCATACAGAGTGCGAAAAGAAAAGGAGTTAGTGGATACAATTGTTTCCTGTCTTTTTCAGAAGTTTCACACCCCTCTTATTTACTCAGCCTATGTTACGTCTTGATGGACCACATGTATTACTCACTTATTCATCACTCATTTCTATCTATATATAATTTAAGCTATTTATAAACACTTACGAAAAATGCTCTAAAGACTGAATGTATGGTTTATCTTATTGTAGAATATACTTGTGAATATAGTTTTCCTGAGACGTACAGTCCTCCTTTGAGTGAATCTCATCTGCTTCTGTCACTTTTATGATGATTTATACTGATCATTTGTTCCCTCTTACTCCTATTCTTGGTTAGGATTGAAACACTTGACAAATGTTTCAGCCAAGACACTGTTGAGGAAATTATTGATTCTTTGGTAAGCATATAATAAACTAGTTCTGTTTTCATTTACGTGAAGTATCCTTTTGCAAAAACAATTCTGAATGAAAATATAACATTGATCTTTAATGTAACATCTCGAAACCTATTTTCCGGAGGTTACTCAATTAATTTCTTTATTCGTAAGAAAAGTGAATTTACTCATATTGTAATACAAAATAAAAAATAAAAAAATTAAGAACTTTGTGAAATAAAATAAGCTATGTTATTGTCTCATAAAAACGTTAATTAACTTAATCTACTAATGTAATATAAATTCAGCATTTATTTTTTTAAAAATTCAACATCTATTTTGAACATAAAATTCCTAATTTGAAAAAAATTAAATAAATAAAAAATAATAATTTTTTAACTAAATACTAAACATTAAAAGAAAATAAAATTCTTGATCCAGTAGCACAGACACTGTCAGCAGTCTCAACCTCCAACTCCGATCCACCAAGCATCTGAAAATATAATTTTAGAATATGGAGTGAGCATATGGATATACTCGATATAGATTTCATGCCTGTATTTTCATAATTTAATATAAAAATATGAACATAACATAATTTTCTAGTGGGATAGAAATCTGACCGTCTCATTTTCATTTAGGTCATACCCATTCTCAATCTCCACATAAGGTGTTTAACCCTATGTCTGATTTCTGTATAGATTTACATAATAATATCATATGTTATTACCCACAAGATCCTTCTCTAATTGAATACCAAGTGATTTACATAATAGCACATAGAATACTTAAACTTAAAACATTAAAAAGTGAAAATATAAAATCACTTGGCATTTAAAGAAATCCATACCTAATTCGTGAAATTCCTCGTGTACTTGAATTACTTAGGACTTAAAATTCTTGCGAACGGATCTCGAACGCGTTAGAAAGTCTTTTCTTTTCTTTCCTTTTCCTTTCTTTTTCTTTCTTCTCACTCCCCCTTTTTCCTCTCTCATGTTTTTCTCTCTTACTCTTTTCCCCCCAGTCTCTCCGTCTCTACCTCTTCTTTTATCTCTTTTTGCTATTCTTGTTCTCTACGAATTTCTGTGAATTGAAGTGCACAACAAGAGGATGTTTATAAGTGTGATTTTATAAAAATGGTTACCTAATTAGAATTCTAATAGGACTCTTAATTCAAATTTAGATTGGTGTTTCAACAAATAAACTTATCATGAAATTCGAATTTCAAAAAATTATAACTACATGATGAAAAGATTTCAATATGAATATATGCAAATTTCAAGTTTTATCTAAATACTTTTATATCAGATAATTTAATAATAATTTGATAAATATCCAAAATAATATTAAAATTTAATTTCGTGTAAAACTCATATATATCCAAAACTCATATAGATTCAATTATTATGATTATTAAAACAAGGTCCCTAGAAAATGGTAAAGTTGCTAGGTTACCCTAAAATCTCAAAACTTGTATTGATGCCCCATAATATATTGTATGTATTTTTTTTATTTTTGTTTTGGGGCATTACATTTAATGTCTCTTTTAAACTGTTCACCGCAAATTCTTTTGATGAAAATGGAGTGATCAGAGGATTAGGATAGGATGTTATTGATGAAGAAAATGAAGTATAGATACAAAATAATCTTTTCGTCTCTCTTTATCGCTATCTCTCTGTAGTTCTGAGGAGGAGTTGATAGGAATACCAGTCTATATATTGTAGTTTTTTACCTGCCCAGCAGCCTTCCACTCGGCGCCGTCGGATCAATAAAGTCAACTTTCGTCCCTGCTCGATGGGTAAATTTGATTGAGAATGTTAAATGATATAGCTAAAACTGTAAGAGATATGCAAGGTTGTTTGTCTGCTTGGCTAGTCAAGCATGGGCTATTTCATCTTTATTTGAACCTTGTCCTTCTAAGGCTATGCGATCCTAAGGTTCTAGTAATTGGATGATAATAAATCATACTCGAACTGCTGAATAACATTAAAACCTCCGAGTTTATCAAACAGCCCTTTTCACCAGTCACAATGCTTCTTGGTTTAGTTTTTTCTTTCTTCTGCTTTATACTTCCATTTTACGTCCACCAATAAAATTTTTCATCTAAATTTCTTGGAGAACATGTTTTTTTCAATTATATAACTCTGTATCTTTCCTTGGAAGAAATTTACGTTAATTGCTATGGTTAAGATTCCTATTTAAAATTTTCCTAGGAAAATGAGGTTGCCAAAACAAATGATGCATGGTGCACATCAACGTTGATGAAACTTAAAGATGCTGCACCATTAAGTTTGAAGGTTTCGTTAAGATCTGTAAGTCCCCAGAACATTTTAGTGAGTTCTCCAGACCACTATAATTGAAGCTGAACTCACAATAATGTCTGTTCCAGATACGAGAGGGTAGATTTCAAAGTCTTGATCAATGCCTTATTCGTGAGTATAGAATGTCCCTACAAGGAATATCCAGGCAGATTACAGGTGACTTCCATGAGGTATAAAATGTTTCTAACTTTCTGTTTAGCACGAGTATTATACGTCTTTGTCATGGTATCCACTTACCTTTCCTGTTCAGGGTGTTCGAGCAAAGCTGGTAGATAAAGATTTTGCACCAAAGGTAAACTATATCTTAATTCCTAATTTTGCCACCCTTCTTGTTTAGTTATTAGCTGCTGCTAAATTGATACTCTCTTTTGATCAACGAATGATTTTGTAAAACTTGTAGTGGGACCCTCCAACGTTGGGACAAGTATCTCAAGACATGATAGATCAGTACTTTGCTCCGCTCACAGCATTTGAGCCTGAACTAGAACTGCCGACAAAGCAGCGAGAAGCGTTTGCATAGTTTTGGGTGAAATATTGTATTGCATTCACTTCCCCAGGGGTGCAGAAATTGCACTGTTTTCTTGTACTCGGCTTGTGGTGGAGAGGTACATACTAATGCAATATTAGAAGAAATATTATTATGTTTAGATTCCAATTTTAATTCGTATTTTAGGAAATATAATTAGGTTTAATTTATTGCTTCTATTAGATATGTTTCTTCTTAAGATGGAATAGAATATTTCAGACCCTATGTAATGGACTCTTTTGCATTGTAATAAAAGAACTTTTGAATGAATGAAATAAATGGATTTATCTCTCAAATTTCTATCTTCCTCTTCCCCTCTTCTCTCTTTTCCCCTCTTTTCTCTTCTTCTCCCTCCTTTCTCTTCTTCTCCCTCCTTTCCCCTTCTCCTACAACTCTCCTCTAGCATACTACGTCCCATGGGCTGAATAAACAATTTCACCTGAATAAACAATTTCACCTGCTAATGACGACAACAGATTGCTGGAGTATATTACGTAAAGTCGTTCAATGAGATCATACGATTTCTTCAAGAATCCAGGAGGTTACGTAAATGAAATCTTATTCAGTGCAGTATTTTCGTATGACATTTTGCATCTCCATTGTTAACCCATTTTCAAAACTTTATTTTTAGGGCATGTTTGATAGGCCTTTTATTCCAAGAAACTTGGAAATGAAATTTCATTTTCCATGTTTTTGAGTGTTTGATTTGCCAAGTTTTCCAAGTAATTGGTTTTCTAGCTTTGCCCGCTTTTCTTTGGTTTTGAGAAATTCGCTTTTTCATAGGATTGATGGAAATTGATTTTCCATGCAACTACCTTTTTATTTATTTTTTTCTTTTTTTCTGTTTTTTTGGGAAACAATTCTAGGAACAATCGTAAAAAATGATATTCCTTAAATTGACAATTTTTATGTAAAATAAAGTCAAACGAACAACAAAATATAGATGATTTTTGAAATTTTTTATTTTTTGACAATGAAAACAAATTATAGGAACAATCGTAGAAGTGAACATAAAAAAATACTTATTTTAACATTTTTCAAGTAGAAAATTATACCAATTAAACACTATTAATTGACAATTTTCAGTAAAAGAATTTCTAGACAATTATATTTCCTAGAATTTGTTTTTTTCCATTCAAATTCTATATTTGCGATCAAACAGACCTTTATAGGTTTTTGGGTCTGAAGTGCCATCTGGATTAGTATTTTCTACATTTTCCTCTTTACCAACTCTTTTCATGTTAACTATACAGACTGAATCTAAGCTATTCGATTAAGCTCATGATCATCGTTAACTAGACTCACTGATCATCTTGTCGGGCCAATCAGTTCATTAACACGCGTCAATGTTTAATATGATGAGAAGGGGCGCCTCCCCTTTTACGTACGAATTCTTATTTCCTATTACATCTTCGACGAGGACCGCACAGACCACTAAACTCGTACAGGAACAAATCAAAATAAAGTTGCAATATGAAATTTTTGTTTTGTTTTTGATTTTGCCCCTTCTAACCTTTTACCATTTTAAGAACTTTACCTAAGCCGATCTCCGTCGCCTGTGCTCTGCTGTCCGGAATCTCATTCTGATTGCCCCCTTTTTCTGGTACCAAACAATTGTCTTCAAATAAAAATGACGCACACGACCACCCCACCTGAAATACTGTAACTTGTCCCCCTCGACTAGGTATTATGATTAGACAGATATTTGACTTACTGCCAACCGACCACCCCAGTTGCAATTTACACATCTTTGCCAGGAAGATTTTATAAATTCCCCAAATGGAATGAAGAATATAAAGAACACGATTGTGGAAACTATTGATTTCGTCAGTCTTGATATACTTATCAGGTCCTTCTGGAGTGAGATTCATTCCAGGAGCTTAAAACCTTTCCACCTTCAGTCCCGAGGTACAGGGCAGGCATTCTACTACGACCATGGTCTGTAAAGATTAACTTGTACAAGTTTTTTAAAGAAATAGTCCAATCACTACAGAGATCTTATTCGTACAAATACTGAATAATAGCTCTCAGTCCCTTATTTCAGGCTTTTCAAAATTGGATGACCACGTATATTGATTTAATTAATATATGTTATATAACCTATCATCCTGCCTAAGTGAAAGAAATGATACAAGTGGGGTTTCCACAAAATAAAAAATAAAAAAAAATCCCATGTTTCCAAAACACGCCAGCTATTCGACACCCTTTGAAGCCTTGTACGTGTTCACCAGTTGCATCTGCACATCTTGAGAAACTTGTGCATGCTGCAAATATTCCATTGTGAATTCACCTTTCCCCTGCAAAATCGAAAGAAGTGTTTAACTTGTACTGGTGACTTCAATTTCAGTAGTGCAGAACCATAGCTAGAAAGTAGCCTGTTACTTCACCTGAGTCATTGAACGAAGAGATGTGGAGTATCCAAACATATTGTTGAGAGGAACCTGAAAAGCCAATACAATGATCAATGAAATCAGACACCACCAAGGGAGGGGAAGATCGAATGCAAGTGCACAAATTGCAAAGAATAAATCTGTGTGCTAATAATGGTATTAGATGCACTAGGCAGTTGCTCAATTTCTAAAAGTTATTTGTAGCTGGTAGCGAGACTATCCAGTCATAATTTAACAGAATTGTATACATCTGGTGTAGCTTGCAAATGCTAAATAGAAAAGTATCACTTCGGATGTATAACTTGCAAATGTTGAATAGAAAAGTATGTCACTCCATCCAATACATCCATAGACCTTGAATTGTAACTTTCATTTTACATCAGAGGAATCTTAGTGCAAATAATTTAAGTGGGACGGTGATCAGCCCCCATTGGAAAACACCAACTGTAGCTATAATACAAAAGGCAATCACACTGTAAAAGTAGAGAAAGTTCCCCAAGAGAGGCCACGTTAGGAGAAAAAGTATGAAAAAAGGCCCATATTGATGTTATTTAAGCAATTTTATTAGCAGTAAATCCTTAAACTAACAATTGGAAGGGTCTCTTAACTAAAAATTAAGTACAGGTATTACTCACCATGAACACTGTTAAGAGGCCTTTTAGAAAAGTTCTCCCATGAAGGTAAGCACATGGCATCTACCTGCCTAATACATTCTTTTTTTGCGCTTCAGTTTAATTGTCCCCCTTGTTTCATATAGTTTTAAAACCAAATCATTCATCAAAATCTATTTAGCAGTTAGCTAATTGGCCTATCAAGTGTTCATCTGAACCCAAAAATCTTTATTGACCGAGGACAAAAAATGCAAGAACTCGGAATAATAATAACAGCAAGAGTGACTGAGGAGAAAGGACATAGCAACAAAGATCTAATTGACCACAGCAATAAAAACTTAGAATGCATTTGGTTTGTCATTTTGAGGCCATTTTCAGTTTTCAAAGACACTCAAAACGTGTTTGGTATATTACTTTCAAAAATGCGTTTTCAAAAAACAAGAAAAATTTTACAACGTAAAACTCAAAATGAATTTTCGGCATTTTGAGTGTCTTCAATGAAAACACTCAAAACAAGAAAAATGAACTTGAAAATTTATCAAATTAAAATAATTAATAAACTCACACAAAACCTATCTAAAACTACTGCTAAATTTTTTAACCACACGCATTTTCTAGTTTTTTTGTTTTAAGAAACAGTTTTTCAAAATGTCAAATCACACATTTTCTACAATCTTAAAATAATCCTCAAAACAAAAATCAAAAAATAAATTCAAAACTGAAAACAGAACAAAATGAAAACCAAATGCAACCTTTTCTTCCATTGGCCTCTACAAAGTTAGAATGGCCCCTCTTTTAATTTCTACTGCTTGGCTTTCTAAACAATGCATGGGTGAGGAGTGAGGACCATATCCCCCTCCCTTGATCTTTATTTTTAATTTCTTATTATTAATATACATGTAGACGTCAAGCCCCCCATATTGGCACACATGTTTGATAGATGGGAAAAAAACAATGCACTGGTGAGACAAAGCAGCTGATAGAAAGGTGACCTTTATGAAACAGAACCAGCAATAAATTTTAAAAAAAGACCAAGATACATGCGAGAATGAGTAACTAATATGCAAATGAACAAAATTGAACTTACAATTTCACTGTACTTCCATCTATCATACACGTGCGCTATTCTAAGATAATTAATCATTTGATAAGACAGTTCATCAGGTATCCTGTAGTGTTCTAATGCTTTTCTTTGAAAACAAAATCCTATGTTAACAATACCAAACCCCACATAAACAGTGTAGTTACTAGCAACTGAGCAGCTGCTTTTGCTAACTGCATATGTTTACCATATACATGAACCTACACTTTATAAAACCAAAAGTTCCTGACAAGACCGAAAATGAATGATCATATACCATGACCCATATACACCAGCATATGTTGTATAAGCAGAAATGAAAAACAGCAAATGAGGGAAAACCACGAATTTCGCTGTGAGATGCAAATTCAAACCAAACTCAGAAATTGAACCATTAGTAACCAATTCAATCAAGATGTGCATCTGATGTCCTAACTCATATAATTAAGAAAAAAGAGAACGTAATTTAAAAATAAAAAAACACTAAGAGTAGAAGTGTTACATACGTGCGCAGTAATTACACAATCATCTCCCTCCTGGTCATTCCCAACAATCATTCCTTTCCTCCTATCACATAATAAATTTAAGAAATCAACCCATATTGCCCTTCAGAAACAAGTTTCAATTTCCAAAGAATTATGAAAGTAATAACAAAAATAACCAAATGAAGTACTGACTTGTTGATATCTCCGGTGACAGTGCCCTGAAATTCTGTGGGGGCCTTTAGTTCTACCAACATCACAGGCTCCAGTATAACGGGCTTGGCAGCTGCATAACACTGTTTAACATAATGAAGACTATGAAAATCCAAAAAAAAATGAAATACATCCAAGAGTCAAAAAAATCTTGCCAGCCATCGGTAAAGATCAGCTGTAAAAATTTAGAAAGCAAAAAGCAAAGAGAACAGCTTTTCAGCATGTGTATTATGCAAGCAGCACCTGTCTGAAAGCATATATTGCAGCTAACTTAAAAGCAAGTTCACTGGAATCCACAGTATGGGCTGCACCATCATTGAGAACAATACGGATATTTTCAACAGGGTGACCAATAAGAGAACCCCTACACAAACAGATCCAAATTTTGGTGAATGACCAAAGAGCATTATATATCTCACACACACACATAGAGGGCGAGAAAGAAGATATCAATGAGTGCCACAAACCTCATCGGTGCAAAGTCCTTTGACAATATAT